TACCATGCCTCCATATTACCATGGCTCCAAGGAAGGCTAGAATTCCTACTAAGGAAATTAATGGCAAGAGTTTTCTGCCCCATACATTCTTGTAAAAATACAACACAGGAGGCCAGGTATGGTGGCTCACACCTGTAATCCCAGCACTTTGGGAGACCGAGGTGGGCAGATCACCTGAGGTCGAGAGTTCGAGACCAGCCTGACCAACTTGGAGAAACCCCATCTCTACTAAAAATACAAAATTATTAGCTGGGTGTGGTGGCGCATGCCTGTAATCCCAGCTATTAGGGAGGCCGAGGCAAGAAAATCACTTGAACCTGGGTGGCAGAGGTTGCGGTGAGCCAAGATTGCACCATTGCACTCCAGCCTGGGTAACAAGAGTGAAACTCCGGCTCAAAAACCAAAAAAAACAACACAGGAATAGTGACAATTCAAACGTCAGGTAGACACAGGGAGGCATATGGGTTGCAGGAAGGTAAGTGGCTAGTGAAAGGCTAGCTGCCAGCATGAAAGACCCAGGCTGTCATTTGTGTTGGTACAGGAGCCTGCCACAGGTAGGTAGACCAGGTAGAAGGGGACAAGAATGGGGCGGAGCCATGAACATTTCTTCCCATGCTTTTGGCTACAAAGATGACGCAATAATAAGAATGAAAGTTGACAGACTCTAACATTCGCAATGGTGCCACTATAAATACCAAAGACTCAGGGAAAAAATATGTGTGCAACATCAACTATGAAAGAGAACCTTCTGGTACATATGAAAACAAGAATGTTACCCCGTGACTAGATTCTCCAGAAAGTCAAGCCACTTAATTATTCTCAAAGTTCAGATGAGATTTACCCCAAAGTACAGAGACAAGGTGATTTATTCCCGTAATAAAAAAAGTACTTCGAAAAATGTCTTTGTTTTTCAAAAATACAGATACAACTAGCAAAAGCATCTGTGACAGCTGTGAAAACATTCAATTGCCAAGGAAGGTATTTTCTCTTTTCACCACAGCTGTTCAGTGCAGGGCAAGGTTTATTTTCCTCTTCTACTGAGCTTCCAAATCAAAATTTCTGGGCTCTCAAGTGCAAAATACTGCCCTTGAATTTTCTTGGATAGGCTACCACCATGTGGTGATCGCTAAAAACGCACACAGGTTCAGGTTTAACTGCAAGGCTGCCTTCCTGATCTGTCTTAACCCAAGCATTACATAAATTAGATCCACCTGCCAAGAAAAGATTCCAAATCTGCTGAGACACCTGGCTTCCCTGGCAAGATTACAATCTACTCCTCATTTCCATTCTCACCCCGCAACATGAGGAACACGTATTTTTAGATCATGTTCTGTAGTAACTGATTGTACTTAATGCATTCGTTTTAAACTTCACTTTGCTTGAAATCTGTGAGCTGTACTGGCATTTTTTAAAATGAAAAACAATTATTTCAGACATGAAAATGTAAAACGATAACCTAACATACCTAGACAACACCTATTGCCCAGTTTAAGAAAAAAGGGATGAAGGTGTCTAGGTTTCCTTTCAATCTATATCCACATCCTTGCCTCAATAAATGCTTTGCAGATTTGGTTCATAGTTTCCATTATTTCTTCATATTTTTACTTCATTTGCATGGACTCCTAATAATATATGACTTCTAATATATATATGAAAAATCTAATATACATATATATATATGTATATAACGATTCCATGCAAATGAAGTAAAAACATAAAGAAATAATACGTAGGTTAGGATTATATATATGTGTATATATGTATTAGGATGACCTATATATGTTGGGTTGCTTTCAGACATATATAAATGGTGTTATATGAAATATATCCTTCTACAACTTGGGTTTTTGTTCACTGAATGGTGTTTTAAAAAAAGTCTTCCAGGCTGGGCACAGTGGCTCATGCCTGTAATCCCAGCACTTTGGGAGGCCAAAGTGGGCAGATCACCTGAGGTCAGGAATTCGAGACCAGCCTGGCCAACATGGTGAAACCCCGTCTCTACTAAAAATACAAAAATTAGTCAGGGTGGTGGTGCACACCTGTAGTCTGAGCTACTCGGGAGGCTGAAGCGGGAGAATCACTTGAACCCAGGAGGCAGAGGTTGCAGTGAGCTGAGATCACGCCACTGCACTGCAGCCTGGGGGACAGAGCAAGACTCTGTCTCAAAAAAACAAACAAAAAACAAAACAAAACAAAATGCATGTTGCTATCTACAGCTCTAGTTTATTGATTTTCACTGATTTAATATCATTCTGTTTCATGAATGTATGTCTATGCTACTCTACATACAACTATACTGATTTTTCCATTCACGCTGATGGGCATTTAGGTCACTGTTTAAATACTTTCCGTGGTGCACTTGGTTTCTCAAGTCGCCTGCCTGGCCCTCTCCCAAGTTGTACTTTCCTTCTTTCCTTTCCTTACTATTCTAAAGCTTTTTAATAGGCTTTCCGTCCTCCTTTGAAACTTGCCTCAGTCTCTCCTGCCTTATGCCCCTCGGTCCAATTCTTTCTTCTGAGGAGGCCAGAGTTGAAGCTCTGCAGTCCTGTATGGATACACCAGCACTGCCTCCAGTAACAGATTTGGTGCACGTGACTCAGATACATTCCCTAGTGGTCATCAAGCTCCGGATGACCAGTGAGGAATACCATCCTCTTAATACTCAAGAGTCACCCTTCTACAGGGGACCTCTAGCCTGCTTATCAGTGGGACACAACGGGGGCAAAATCCTGCCCTGTCTCCCTTGCACCTGGCAGGGTACCGCTTTCACCAACTCATGGAGCCAACTGAGCTCTGACAGCTAGCAGAAAGGGGCCAAGACCCACAGAACCACCACTGGCCCTCTGTTTCAAACAAACAAACAAAACTTTTTGCATTGTAAACATGCTACTCTGACCAATCGTAAACACACCTTTTTATAGATATGGGCAAGTTTGGTCTATGATACATATTTAGAGTGAGATTCCTGGATCAAAGAGTAGCTCAAACTCTACTAAACTGCTTTCCAAAATGCCTATTTCATACAAGAAAATGAGCTGGGTGTGGTGGCATGTGCCTGTCATCACAGCTACTTGGGAGGCTGAGGCAGGAGAACTGCTTGAACGCAGGAGGTTGCAGTGAGCCGAGATTGCGCCACTGCACTCCAGCCTGGGAGACACAGCAAGACTCCATCTCAAAAAAAAAGAACCAAAATGCTTATTTCAAATTTTAACTCCTGCCAGCAATATATGAATTCCCATAGCTCTGGACATTTGTCAATATGTCTAACTGGCACTTTTTACCTACTGCCAATATGACTGGTAAGCAAAAACAGCAGGAAACCAGGCAGCTTTTCAAGTGTCTTTTAAACCTCAGGCTCCTTATCTGTTAGTGGTCTGTCATGTGTCCATTTTTCTAACAGATTGTCTTTGTCTTATTGATTTGGAGGAATCTTTTATAACATACTAATTACTGGCTAAATGTTTGTTATAAATATCTTCTATACTCTACCTGTCTTTTCACTTCTTTAAGAACTTCTTTTTAGAAAGAAAAGCTTTGGGGTTTTAAAAAATTTGATAGTCAGATTTATGCATCTTTTCTTTAGCAATCTGTGCTTTTTGGGTCTCTTAAACTATCCTTCCAATGCCAACATCTTAAAAGCATACGCCTATATTTTTTTTCTATAAGTTTTACAGTTTTGCTTTCCACATTTAGGTATTTTAATATAGAAGTGATTTTTATATGTAGTATCAGGTTAGTATTCCTATTCTAGTCTCATATACATATAACTAGTTTAGTCAGCATCATTTTTAATAATCCTTTCTTTTTTTGAGATGGAGTCTTATTCTGTAACCTAGACTGGAGTGCGGTGGCGTGATCTCGGCTCACGGCAACCTCTGCCTCCCGGGTTCAAGCGATTCAGCTTCCTAAGTACCTGGGACTACAGGCTTGTACTACCATGCCCGGCTAATTTTTTACATTTTTAGTACAGACGGGGTTTCACCATGTTGGCCAGGATGGTCTCAAACTTCTGAGATCAAGTGATCCGCCCACCTCAGGCTCCCAAAGTGCTGGGATTACAGGCGTGAGCACCGTGCCCTGACTTTAATAGTTAATCTTTTCCCCATTGATCTGCAGTACCTTCTCTCAAGCTTCCATATACACATAAATTTCCACCTTCTTCTGTTCTGATAGTCTATTTATCTACCATATTATCCTAATTACTATAAGTGCATAATCATTCATGCTAGGTGGTTGGGAATGTCTCCCACCTACTTTTTCCAAAGAATTATCTTGGTTATCTTTGTCCTTTATGCTTCCATTTGGATTTCAGAATCAGATTGTCAAATTCTACAAAAAACATGTCAGGAACTTATAATTTGCAGAGAATTAGTATCTTTAAGATACTGCATCTTTGCCATGAAGATGATACCTCTACTTTTATATAGGTCTTCTTGATGATTTTCATCCAAATTATAATCACTTTCAAAAGGTCATAATGGTTACTAGATTTACCAAGTGACTATCTGTACTTACTACGGTGAGAATTTAGTTTTTACTCATAATGTAGTGAATGACAGTGATAGATTGTCTCATGTTAAATCACCTGGCAATCCTAAAATAAACCTAACTTGCTGCCATATTTGGTGTTCTAAGATTTTGCTCAAGATTATTTCATTTGTATTCATAGCTGACACTGGCCTGTTAATTTTCCTTCAGCATCTTGTCCTTGCTTGGCTTCGGCACTCGAAGTGTGTTAGGACATGTTCCTTCTTTCTCCATTTGCTAGAGAAAAGGATAGTAGGAGAATGATCTGTTCTTTGAGAGAGCTCATTTGCAAAACCACCTGTCGCCTTTTCTTGTTTGTTTGGTGAATAGACTGACTCAATGTCTTTAATGGATATGGGTCTATTCAATTTTCTTCCTCTAATTTCTTGAATTAAGCACTTAGTTTATACATTTCTAGACTTTCTTCTGTTCTAACATGAGCATTCAACATATGTTTCCAACATGAAACTTACCTTGCTTTGAAGCTGGGGTGTTTTCCACTGGGAGCTCATTGTCATGGACCCTTTTCTCTGGAACAGACATTGTAGAGCAGCTTCCAAAGATCCATGGGCCCCGACTACCAAAATCTTCTTTCCATTGAGGTTGACACCTACTAACCAAATGAAAATTCAGTATTATACCTAACGCTTCAGATCTTTCCTTTAAGAACTTTAACTTAAGAAAAAAGATCCTTTTAGGCTGGGTGCAGTGGCTCACGCCTATAATTCCAGGACGTTGGGAGGCCGAGGCAGGCAGATCACTTCAGGTCAGGAGTTCAAGACCAGCCTAGCCAACATGGTAAAACCCTGTCTCCACTTAAAATACAAAAATTAGCTAGGCATCATGGCACATGCCTGTAATCCCAGCTACTTGGAAGGCTGAGGCAGGAGAATCACTTGAACCCGGGAGACAGAGGTTGCAGTGAGCCAAGGTTGTGCCACTGGACTCCAGGCTGTGCAACAGAGCAACACTGTCTCAAAAAAAAAAACAAAAAACCCTTTTAAAGCTTGACCTTTCTCAGCACCAACCTACAATTGACTGTGAACTAGGAGTGGGGTGTTTATAATCAACAAAAATTCTCTATTCAAACCCTTTTAATTCCAATTCTAGGCTGTATTTCTTTCCACGATATACAACTATGATTTACCAGACTCATTTACTCTTTTCTTTGAGTACTTTCTGATGAAGTGGCTCAGAATCTTCATAATCGACATAATGAAAAAGGACTGTATGTATGGATTATTTCAGAGATTTGAGCTTAATATTACTGTCCAAAGGGCGTATATATCCTGAATGTTAACCTTTTAATAAAATTTTGCCATATATTTTTGAAATTTGTCTTGACTGTAGGGTGTTCAGAGGTAGGAGGGGCATTTGCCTCATTTATATTCAAATTGGAATAGAGAAAAATAATTGGTTGAAATTTTTTTTTCCAGATAGGTTCTTGCTTATTGCCCAGCATGGAGTGCTGTGGTGTGATCACAGCTCATTGCAGCCTTGACCTCCCAGGTTCCAGTGATTCTCCTACCTCAGCCTCCCAAGTAGCCAGGACCACAGGCACATGCCACCACACCTGGCTAATTAAAACAAAAAAATTTTTTTTTTTTTTAAGATGGAGTCTCACTCTGTTGCCCAGCCTGGAGTGCAGTGGTGCAATCTCAGCTCACTGCAAACTCCGCCTCCAGGGTTCAAACAATTCTCCTGCCTCAGCCTCCCAAGTAGCTGGGATTACAGGTGCCCACAACTACACTCAGCTAATTCTTTGTAGTTTCAACAGAGATGGGGTTTCACCATGTTGGCCAGGCTGGTCTTGAACTCCTGACCTCTTGATTTACCCTCCTCGGCCTCCCAAAGTGCTGGGACTACAGGTGTCAGCCACTGCGTGTGGCAAAAATTTGTTTTTGTAGAGATGGAGTCTCCCTATGTTCCCCAAGCTGGTGTCAAACTTCTGGGCTCAAGCAATCCTCCCATCTCGGCTCCACAAAGCAGTGGGAATTACAGGTGTGAGCCACTGCACCTGGCTAATTAGTTGAATCTTAATACAGGTGTGAGCCACTGCACCTGGCCGATTAGTTGAATCTTTGTTCTCAGCTAGAAAGCCCTTAAATATATAAATACTTGGTAGTAATTTACTCACTAAATTTAATAAGGAAGAAAGAGAAAGTATTCATTTCTTTTTCACTGACATAAAAATGCCAAGTCAAAGGGACAACAATGGAAATTAAGTCCTGACTACATGCTGCTCACCAATAAATCCCAGCACTAGGTTCTTGTGCCCTGAACTACATCTGATGGCTTCTTCATTTCTCTCTCTCTCTTTTTTTTTTTTTTTTTTTTTGAGGCAAGGTTTTGCTATGTACCCAGGCTAGACTGCAGTGGTGTGATCATAGCTTACTGCTATCTCAAACTTCAGGGCTTAAGCAATCCTCCCGCCTCGGCCTCCAGCATAGCTGGGTCTACAGGTGCACACAACCATACCCAGCTAATTCTTAAATATTTTGTAGAGAAAAGGTCTCACTATGTTTGCCAAGGCTGGTCTTGAACTTCTGGCCTGAAGCGATCCTCTCGCCTTGGCCTCTCTAGCCCTAAGATTATAGGCATGAGCCACTGTGCCTGGCCTCATTGAAGTCTTCAGTGTAAGTTTTATCTACACCTACATATTGACAGGTTTAGTAAGCTGAAACTGGAATCATATTTTACTGTGGTTATTGAGTGTTTCATGAGAGAAACTGACCATGTTTAAAACAGGGCTAATCGTTTATCTCTACTAATTTCTCTTTTAATTTATAAGATGCTATGACTAGAAAAAGGTTTTCTTTTTTTTTTTTTTTTAACTTTACACACAACCTCACTGAAGATTTTTTTTTCTTTTTTTTTTTTTAAACTTAGAAAAGTTTCTAGGTATTCATTTGTGTCTCCCAAAAGAAAAGATGAGAAAAATAAAGAACGTCAACGTGAAATATCATTTCTATGTTCAATTAGAATCTTCCAAAAACATCTTAAAAGGATATCAGAATAAAAATAAAAATTTTTTAAATTCTTCCCAAAACAAATCCTTATTAAAAATAATGTAAATACCAATAAATAGAAAATAGCAGCATTTCTCAAGGAGCATCCTACCTGATTTTTCAAGGAGTTCAATTACAGCTTTGGCAACCGGTGAAACAAAACACTCATGGGCATCCCCTCGTACCAACTTCCCCAGGTTTATGTCTGTTACTCTAAATCAGAAAATAAGGGACTAGGTTAAGTCAAAGCCCAGCCAAAAAAATCACTCACATGTAATGCACATATTAACATCCAAATAACATCCAAGTCAATGTTTCATAGATAGAATATATTAAAAATGAATTAAAGAGAAAGCAGGGAATAAAGGCCATTCATTTTCTTTTTCTTTCTTTCTTTTTTTTTTTGAGTCAGAGTCTTGCTCTTGTTGCCCAGGCTGGAGTGCAATGGCATGATCTTGGCTCACTGCAACCTCCACCTCCTAGGTTCAAGTGATTCTCCTGCCTCAGTTTCATGAGTAGCTGGGATTACAGGCACCCGCCACCACACCCAGCTAATTTTTTGTATTTTTAGTAGAGATGGGGTTTCACTATGTTGGTCAGGCTGGTCTTGAACTCCTAACCTCAGGTGATCCACCCACCTCGGCCTCCCAAAATCCTGGGAATACAGGCGTGAGCCACCGCGCCCGGCCAAGGCCATTAATTTTCTAAGGCAGTACCTTAGGAAACTTCATCCTGGCCCTGACCTGGGGTGTTCTGGTTTTGCCCATATACCAGGACACAGCCTATGGCCATACAAAGCTTCACTTTGCAACTCCAAGGAGCTCCTTTCAGTGAACTGCAGTAAATTAGCATCCCTAGTTACACAGCAGCATGGTCCTGCAGTCTACTCAAAACCCAGAGCTGATCCTACAAATCTGGAGTAATCCAGTAAGACCTGGGATGGATGCACAGGTCTGATTTCAGCTTGACATCAATATTTATCTCCTTGGGAAGCCGAGGCATGGAAAAAATGAGTGACCACAAACTTCTGAAGGCTGTGCCTTTCCCTGTTCAAATCTAGGACAAAACACTCCACAACTATCTAGCCTAAAGTGAGCACATCAATCCCAGTAACAGAATGGAGACATTTAGAACCATTTTCCTAATTTTCTTCTTTGACTCTCCTGTTGTTGTTTGGTTGGTTTTTCCTGGCTGGGCCTCAGCATGAATTCCTCGCCTTTTATGAAAGACTTGAAACTATGCCCTGGGACCTTCAAGTTCTGAAAGTTTTCTCATTGATTAGGGCTTCTTCTTCTTTTAAAGTTAGACTACTACAGAACTGGAGATTGTTGATGTTTTTGTAAAAAATATTTGTTTATTTATTTAAAAACAGAGACGAGGTCTCACTATGTTGCCCAGGCTGGTCTCGACCTCCTGAGATCAACAGATCCTCCTGCCTTAGCCTCCCAAAGTGCTAGGATTACAGGTGTGAGCCACAATGCCCTGTTAGGGCTGCAGGTGTTTGTGACACCTTTTCAGCCTGTGTTTGGGTCTACTCAAGTCACAGTAAAAAGCTAGAATGGAAGATTGCTGGGTGTCTCAGGGAGGAGGCAGCCTCTCTATCCAGCCTGTGAAGGGTCTACCAGATCTGGAATCTAATTTTATAAATCTGCTTACAACCTATAACCATAAAAACATTGTGTTCTTTTTGGCCACAGTACAAAACGCTTCCTATATTTCCATGGAGGAAAATGGGGCTTTTAATCCCCAGAAAGCATGCTTATCCCCCACTGGAGACGGCCAGTATGCTTTGTTCTGTGACGCTTATGTCACCCTACGACAGGAATCGGAGCCCGGCATTACAGCACCCAATAGTTATGATGTTCCCCTCCAAATTTCACATAAAACCTTGTGCCATTAAGAAAAAGTATTTATTTTGCTTTTCTCGGCTGGCCTGGGGCTAAGAATACGGTACTGCTGGGGAATCGGGTTTCTAAGCTTTCTTCTCTGGTCTTGTAGAATTACCAAGGAAAAACTATTAGAAGAATTGAGCTGGCCAAAGATTGTATAATTCAGACTGGGACTTTAATGAATCTGATGGTGTAGGATCATATGGCACTGAAGCACTTTAAACTGGCTAATGTATTTTCCAAAATATATAACTTTTGCATGCAGAATTTTAAAAGCCTGTACAGACTCCTGAACTATTTAAAATGATTTTCTTCATCTAATTACTGACATGGGGAAAGGTTGGTCAATCAGTAGGTACAAAGTTACACTTAGACATAGTTCAAACAAATAGAAGAAATTTAGAAAAAATAAAAAAGGTCAGCCAAGCACATTGGCTCATGCCTATAATACTAGCACTTTGGGAGGCCAAGGCAGACGGATCACCTGAGGTAGGGAGTTCAAGGCCAGCCTGACCAACATGGAGGCAATCCCATTTCTACTAAAAATACAAAATTAGCTGGACATCGATGCGGGCTCCTGTAGTCCCAGCTACTCGGGAGGCTGAGGCAGGAGAATCGCTTGAACCCAGAAGGCGGAGGTTGTGGTGATCTCAGATCACACCATTACACTCCAGCCTGGGCAACAAGAGTAAAACTCCACCTCAAAAAAAAAAAAAAAAAACCAGCATAATAGAAAAAGTGATTTAGCCATAAAGGTGGATTATGTGTTTTTATTTTCTTACCCATCCACATCTTTTTCTGGTTTCAAGGCATTGAGGACTTCGTTGCTGAACGAGTTCTCAGAGATCTGAAGGGCAAGGCCATGTACTCTGGTATCTTCATTCATCTTTAAAATTTCATCTATAATCTAAAGAGAAAACAAAATAAATAAATAAATAAAAGTTAGTTTTGTGAAAATGAGACCCAACAAAAGAAGCATTCTGTAAACAGTGGTGGATTCATGAAATTGCATCTGGTGCAGTTTGTTGTTGCCGTTTAGGTCCTTGTTGAAGACTTGGGGTAAAGCACAATAAAAAGTCTATTTTTCTTTTCATCATGTGTATAAAGCTCAAAAAAAAAATTAAAAGGCTTGGCTGAAATTTTTAATGACTTTGCTGCCTTTCTATGGCTCTACTCTGTGCCAGAAAAAGACAAAACAACAAAATCAAGTTCAACAGCTGTTAAAGTTCAGAGAGACAACATCAACAAGCCATACTTTAAGCCAAGCACACTGCCAGTTTTCAGGGAGGCCAGAAAGCATGAATCTGAAGCATCCAACCTGGCCCGAATAACCCTGTGCCTTTCAAACACATGTTCATCCAAGCTCACTAATCATGACATCCAAGCAGTCACAGAGGCCCTCGGGTTATCTGGACCTCAGTGACACATAAGAGACCTTTCCAAAGACTGATGCTAGAAAAACTCTTAGCATGCACAGCTCCTTTCATGGGAAACACTAAAACAATTCACTACTTAGGAAAAAGACCAAACTACATTTTGGGAAGCTAATGAATGTCTGGGTGTGTCTCTAAATAAGCAATGCTTTGTCTTCTCTGTTTATTTTATGCCAGGAGATAAGATTCTGATTCATCTCACTTAACAAAAATATTTGCTGATAAGTAAGAAGATACTTATTGTGGCACATAGATCTCACTCAGGCTCTGAGGAAGGGTTGGTTTACCATTTTTGTTTCACTATCTGCAGAGGAAACCACTGGAGGCACAAAATCAGAAAGAAAGCTTTGCTTCATTCATTCGGCATTCTTTCATTCATTCAACAAATGTTTTGAGCACATACTGTGTATCAGTTCTAAGTAAAGGAGAAATACAGCTATAAACAAAACTGTCCTCGTGGATCTTATACTCTAGAGGAAGAGGCAATTTCCTTCCTCCCTTCCAAATTGTAATAATAAAAGTAAAATTGCTGGAAATAATAAACTATACTCAGAAAAACAGGTTCAGTGGGGTAAAGTGCTAACAGAGTGACAGGTGAAGGGGTGGTCAGAGGCCATGATGTCCAAGCAGAGACCAGAATGAAGCGAGGAAACTACTGTCACCTGTACCGAGCATTTGGTAGAATCAACAAATGCCAACACAAATCTTAATCAACAAATTAAGATACTTACTCTTTTTCAACATAACACCATACAAATTCACTCTTTTAGAATTTCACCAAAGAAAAATAAGAATGAAGGATTCCTGGTCAAAAAATAAGTCAAGACAAAAGTGCCAAGAACACGTACTGTGGAAAGAGAGCCTCTTCAATAAATAGAGCTGAGAAAACTGGATATCCACACACAGAAGAATGAAACTAGACCCTCATCGCTCACCTTCTATAAAAATCAACCCAAAATGAATAAAGACTTAAACATAAGGTCCCAAACCATAAAACGACTGGAAGAAAACATAGGGGAAATGCTTCATGACACTGGTCTGGACAAGGTTTTTTTGGATAGGACTTCAAAAAAATAGGCAACAAAAGCAAAAATAAACAAGTGGGATTACATCAAACTAAAAACATTCTTCATAGCAAAAAAAAAAAAAAAACCATCAACAAAGCAGAGACAATGTACAGAATGGGAGAAAAGATTTGCAAACTATGCGTCCGACAAGGGGTTAACATCCAGAATATATAAGGAACTCAAATAACTTAAAAGCAACAAAACAAATAATTCAAATAAAAAATGGGCTAAAGACCTGAACAGACATCTCCCAAAATACATACAAATAGCCAGCAGGTACATGACAAAACACTCAACATCATTATCAGGGAAATGCAAATCAAACCACACTGAGAAATCACCTCATCCCAGTTAGCAGTGGCTATTATCAAAAAGGGCGCGGTGGCTCACACCTGTAATCCCAGCACTTTGGGAGGCCGAGGCGGGTGGATCACAAGATCAAGAGATCCAGACCATCCTGGTCAACACGGTGAAACCCCGTCTCTACTAAAAATACAAAAAATTAGCTGGGCATGGTGGCGTGTGCCTGTAATCCCAGCTACTGAGGAGGCTGAGGCAGGAGAATTGCCTGAACCCAGGAGGTGGAGGTTGCGGTGAGCCGAGATCGCGCCATTGCACTCCAACCTGGGTAACAAGAGCGAAACTCCGACTCAAAAAAAAAAAAAAAAAAAAAATGACAATAGCAAATGCTGGTGAGGATATGCAGAATGGGGAGCTCTTACACACTGTTGGTGGGAAGGCAGATTAATACAGACATTAGAGAAAACAGCATGTAGATTCCTGACAAAATTAAAAAACAACTACCATATGGCCCAGCCATTCCATCTACTAGGTATGTAGGCACAGGAACTGAAACCACTATGCTGAGAAGTCGTCTGCATTCCCATGTTTATTACAGCACTAGTCACGACAGCCAAGAGATGGAACCAATCCAAGTGCCCATTAACGGAGGATAAAGAAAGTGTGGTTTGTATACACAATGGAATATCATCAACCATAAAAAGGAACAAAAGCCTGTCATTTGTGGCAACATGGATGAACCTGGAGGACATAACATTAAGCGAAATAAGCCAGGCACAGAAAGGCAAATACCATAGGATGTCACTTACATGTGCAATCTAGGAAAGTTGATCTCATAGAAATAGAGAATAGAATGGTGGTTACCAGAGGCTGGGGAGGGGTGGGGTCGGGGAAAAGGGAGGGGTTGGTCAATCAGTAGGTACAAAGTTTCACTTAGGAGGAATAAATTCTAGTGTTCTACTAGTAGGGTAACTGTAGCTAATGACAATGTATCGTATATTTCAAGACAGCTAGAAAAGATCTTGAAAGCTATCGCCACAAATAAATGACAAACGTCCTAGGTAATGGATGTAACTAACCTGATTTCATCATTACATGACATACACAAGTACTGAAACATCACACTGTACCCCACACACGTGCACATTCATTATGTGTCAATTATAAACAATAACAACAAAAGTCAAGGGCTATCAATACCAGTGGCAAGGCCAGCTGAGGTGGCTCATGCCTGTAATCCCAGCGCTTTGGGAGGTCGGATCACCTCAGGTCAGGAGTTCAAGAATAGCCTGGCTAACATGGTGAAACCCCGTCTCTACAAAAATTAGCCAGGCGTAATCCCAGCAACTCAGGAGGCCGAGGGGAGAGAATCACTTGAACACGGGAGGTGGAGATTGCAGTGAGCTGAGTTGCTGCATTGCACTCCAGCCAGGGTGACAGAGTGAGACTCCATCTCAAAAAAAAAAAACAAAAAAAAAAAACAGTGGCAAAACAACCTAAAGAAAAGCAAATTCCAGCCGGGCACAGTGGCTCACGCCTGTAATCCCAACACATTGGGAGGCTAAGGTGGGTGGATCACCTGAGGTCAGGAGTTTGAGACCAGCCTGGTCAACATGGTGAAACCCCGTCTCTACAAATATTAGCCAAGCATAATCCCAGCAACTGAAGTGGCTGAGCGGGGAGCCACTTGAACATGGGAGGTGGAGGTTGCAGTGAGCTGAGACCACACCGTTGCACTCCAGCCTGGGCAACAAGAAGGAAACTCCATCTCAAAAGAAAAAAAAAGAGAGAAATAAACTTCTACGTTATTTAAGATTCCATTATTTGAGCTTTTCTATCACATGAAGGCAGCAGGAAGAAAGGCTAACCATAGAAGGGTCGGGCCCTAAGTACAGGGATTGTGGCCCAAGGGCCAATTTCCTCACCTCAGCCTGACAATTTCCACTAGATGATGCTACCACCACAGCTGAAGAAACACAACCAAACTCAACAGCTTGAAGCTCAAGTCTCTGGTAGACATATAACAAATGACAAGGAGCAAGGATATTATTAAGAAGCATTTACCCTAGAGAAAAGAAGTGAACTCTTCCCTCTAACATTACGCTACAAGCAAAAGCTGGATCTGTTCCAGCCACCACTAAGAGACACCAATGGGCCCATTAGGTCTCAAGAGGAAAGAAAAGGAAGAGTTTGGAGCTCTGCCATTATTACCTCGGCTTCACTGCTATCTGGAGGGAGGCAAATGTGAGTGATGTTCAGACCAGCCTGAAAAAGGAACACAAGGTTATTTGTCACTATAAGAGAATGTATTGTTAAAAGTTACAATGAATTTTTAATAAGTCCTCACCTCCTCAGCCAAATTCTGGTTCATTTCCTGCATCAAGTTGTCATCACCTGCCTTAGGAGAGTAAAAACAACATGACAACATAAAAACAGCTTGAAAAGGCACAAAAGTTAATCCAGAGATGACTTTTGTGATTGCAGATGATCTAATTACAAAGATAATATGGAAAGTGTAGAAAAACAATCTTGCTACTTATAAAAAGGGACTTGTGGACAGCATTTAACTGAGGCCTTCAAATTACTCAGGCCTTCAAATTATGCCACTTTTTTAAGGAAAATAATACCCTTCCTCTTAGAAGACATACATAGTAACATAGCCAGCTTCCCTCTCTGAAAATGAGGACACCGACTGAGCACAGTGGCTCATGCCTGTAATCTCAGCACTTTGGGAGGCTGAGGTGGTGGATTGCTTGAGCCCAGGAGTTTAAGACCAGCCTGGGCAACATGGTGATATCCCATCTCTACAAAAAATACAAAAGTTAGCCAGGCATGGTGGTAAATGCCTCCAGTTCCAGCGAATCAGGAGGCTGAAATGGGAGGATCGCTTGAGCCCAGCAGGTCAAGGTTTCGTTGAACCAAGATCATACCACTGCACTCCAGCCTGGGCAACAGAGCGAGACCCATCACAAAAAGAAAAAAAAATGGAGACACCAAAGATAGGAGTTAAAATGGTTTGCCTTTAGATGGAAAGCCAGGGAGTCAGTAGATCCCCAGGAGGACCAAGCCCTGATCTAATTTTCTTTCTATTGTTCTAACTCTCCTTTCTTTGTAACGAGATGTGGGTACAGATCGCAGAGAACATAAGAAACTTGAGCACAGCTCTGTAATCCTGAAATACGCAGCACGATGGAACCAGAGGCTATTTTGATACGCTAAGTGTGTGCCAAGCCCCACGGTAGCAGCCCAACTGTCAGGCTGAGTTCGCTTCCAGGCTTGGCTCACCTCGTTATTTCTCGGCACCTGCCATCACACAAGTGTGCCAATCAGGATGGCAACCGGGGCCAACTGTGGCTCGGAACCAGGGCTGCAGCCAAAAGAAGTATGTGGAATGCAAAGTCCTTTTGATGGGATAATGACTTTTGGTCTGTCAAGTTTATGGCAGGCTTTAAAAGATAGAGTAGAAGAGATTACCAAATACCCATCTTTCATGTAGCATCTGCCTCCATTGAAACAAAGTGGGACTTTTTTCCCCAACACCATCAAATCACATTTGGTAAGCATTTGTGAGCACACATGGACCACGATGTATCCTTTGTAATGCAATGCATGTAGGTGCCTACCTCCTAGACCTCTGAAAACTACCCATACGTCAGAGGAAAATTCACAAAAGAAGACACGCTCAAGCAGAGCAGTACTTAACCCATGACCACAAAGAATCGAAAGACCAAAGAAAACAGCAGCATTGCTCACTGAGCCCTCTCTTCTTCCGCGAGAAACACGGCTGCTCTTTTGTATACAATCATTTTCTAAATTGAAAGGCGTCCTAAAATAGTAGGACTGAACCTTGTTCTCAGCTTACCTGGATAATTGCAAGAACCGGCTTGAAGGCAGGGTTTTTTTCTTGCAATAAACTCAGAACTTCTTTTGAACTCTGAATGACTTCTCTACATTGAGGGAAAAAAAACAACACTGTGATTTCTTGGTTAATGAGCAGAAAGGACTGACACAACACATTTTCTCAGAAAGTTCGTTCCAAGTGAAAATAACTAGACCACAGAAGGACACACTCCAACGTACAGTGTGGAGCGAGGAGGCGGTGTAACCATCATGACACTAACGCAAGGTAAAATTGGCAATCTAGTTTTTAAACTATGCAGAGGGAAACAAACTAGATGTTTACAATCGTTTTCTAGGGGTGAATTTTTCTCTTGTATTTTCTAAGTGTACTATAATGAAAAATTTAGTTTTCTACTTCAAATAATCCCTCTCCTCGACCATACTCCCATGCCATCCCCCCAAAACCCTGAGTTTGGGTCCATGAGGAAAGCAAATAAAGTGGGAAGAGGGAAGTGAAGACAGGGGATTGGGGGGTGAAGACAGGGGGCTCGCTGTTTTGGACAAGAAGTGTCGAGCCAGGACAAATTCCAGGTCCTGGAGCTTAAAAAAAGAATTAGGTAAGGAAGGAAGGGAAGGAGAGGAAATTTCCAGAAACACTGGGGACCCATCATAATTGGATAACACGAATAAGGCCTCCAGGAGGCGTGGGGGCCGGGGGTGGGGGGAGGTGGGGTGGGGGGGGAGGTGGGGGCGGGGCACTCAGTCCTCTGGGAATCCACAACACAGTCTGCACCTGTACTTCCTAAATGCCCAGCAGCAGTCACCTTCCCCCTCCGCCTCTGAGGGAGATGCCAGCCTGGCGTGAGCAGGCCTAGGTAAAAGTGATAGGAGGGGCCAGGCGCGTTGGCTCACACCTGTAATCCCAGCACTTTGGGAGGCCGAAGTGAGCAGATCACCTGAGGTCAGGAGTTCAAGACCAGCCTGGCCAACGTGGTGAATCCCCGTCTCTACAAAAATACAAAAATTAGCCAGGCATGATGGCAGGTGCCTGTAATCCCAGCCACTCAGGAGGCTGAGGCGGAAGAATCGCTTGAACCTGGGAGGTGGTGGTTGCAGTGAGCTGAGATGGTACCAATGCACTCCAGCCTGGGGAACAGAGTGAGACTCTACCTCAAAAAAAAAAAAAAATTTTTTGATAGTTTCTTCTCTTCAGAAAAGAAAAAAAAAAAAAAAGGAGGAGGCCTGGCATGGTGGCATGCACCTATAGTCCCAGCACCTTGAGGTCAAGATGGGAGGACTGCTTGAGGCCAGGAGTTTGAGACCAGCCTGGGCAACATAATGAGATCCTGCCTCTATAAAAAATTCAGTGGGGCGTGGTGGCATGTGCCTGTGGTCCCAGATACTTGGGAGGCTGAAGTTGGAGGACTGCTTGAACCCATGAGTTTGAGGCTGTAGTAAGCTGTGACTGCACCACTGCACTCCAGCCTGGGTGGCAGAGCAAGACTCAATTTCTTGAATAAAAGAAAAAAGTGTTAGGAGCTCAACTCTTTCTGGAACTTTCTGGGATGAGTGACTGCAGAGGCTACCTTCGCCACCAGCCTATATGTTTTCAGCAGCACATGAGCACTGGGAGCTGGATTCTTCCCCTCTCACAAAAGACCAAGGATGCAGCCGCAGCAGCCTCAAGGCTTCAGTGCCAAGGCCACCTTTACATTGTGTTTTCAGTCCCGACAGGATCTGCACTGCACCTAACAAAAATGCAGAGTGAAGACGAGCCAGCCAATGCCGTCAATGGTACACTGCCAAGAGCAGAAATGCATCGGGAGGCTTCCCCCAGTTTTCAGAGAGACGGACCTGACAAATGAAACCAGAAGCACTGCAGTTCCCAGGCGGGGCTTTGGAGGAGAGCATTGCTCAGACTCACAACCAGGACCAGCCTTTCTACCGCCAGCTGGGCGGGAACAGATGGACTGGGTGCAGGCAACTGTCAGTGACCTGGGAACATTTCAGTTAGTTTTGTTTGGAAACACTTGGGATAAAGCTACTTCATTCCCAGGGAATTAATTGTATTATTGTGCTGAATAAATGCAACCATATGGGAAAGTTTACAAATCACCTTATAAATAAGCACTAAAATCCATCCATCCAATAACGGGTGACTGAGGCCCATATGCTGCAGTCTTTCCAGCCTGTCGTGACTTTTAATTGGGCCATGCTGGGTTCTTATTTTTGCCTGGATCCAGGAAAGCACTGGCGTGTGGGTCCCAAGCTGCTCATGCTATAAGGATCACTGGAGAGTTTGGTAAAAATAAAGGTTCCAGGCCAGGTGCAATGACTCACACCTGTAATCCCAACACTTCAGGAGGCCAAGGTGAATGGATCACCTGAGGTCAGGAGTTCCAAGACCATTCTGGCCAACATGGTGAAACCCTGTCTCTAGTAAAAATATAAAAATTAGCCGGGCGTAATGGTACACGCCTATAATCCCAGCTACTCAGGAGGCTGAGGCAGAAGAATCACTTGAACTCAGGAGGCGGAGGCTGCAGTGAGCCAAGATCACACCACTGCACTCCAGCCTGGGTGACAGAGCAAGATTGTCTCAAAAGAAATAATGGCTCTGGTGTTTTACCCCAGAAAGTCTGATTCAGCATTCTCAGTAGAGCCCAGAAATGTACATTTTTAACAGAGTCCAGGTAGTTCTGAGACACTAAGTGGAAACACGGCCCAGGACTGGTACTGGGCATTTCATTTACTAGCCTCAGCAACAGTCTCTAAGAGTGTCAGTTTCCTCATCTGTAAAACAGGTATACTGGCCAGGCACAGTGGCTCATGCCTGTAATCCCTGCACTTTTGGAGGCCAAGGCAGGTGGATCACCTGAGGTTAGGAGCTCGAGACCAGCCTGGCCAACATAATGAAACCCCATCTCTACTAAAAATACCCCCCCACAAAAAAAATTAGCTGGGCATGTTGGCACACGCCTGTAATCCCAGCTACTCAGGAGGCTGAGGCAAAAGAATCACTTGAACCCAGGAGGCAGAGGTTGTAGTGAGCCAGGATCGCACCACTGCATTCCAGCCTAGGCAACAGAGTGAGACTCTGTCTCAAAAAAACAAAACAAAACAAAACAAAACACATATACTACAGTGGTTCTTTTCCTTTTTCCTATAAATGTACATATTTGTTCGTTTTTCTGTGCCCCAGAGCTACCCTTAAACACTAAAACCATTCATACTAATAGCAATAATTTTCTCAGAAACATTCATAGTCACCGGGCGCGGTGGCTCAAGCCTGTAATCACAGCACTTTGGGAGGCCGAGGTGGGTGGATCACGAGGTCAAGAGATCAAGACCATCCTGGTCAACATGGTGAAACTCCGTCTCTATTAAAAATACAAAAAATTAGCTGGGCATGGTGGCACATGCCTGTAATCCCAGCTACTCAGGAGGCTGGGGCAGGAGAATTGCCTGAACCCAGGAGACGGAGGTTGCGGTGAGCCGAGATTGTGCCATTGCACTCCAGCCTGGGTAATAAGAGTGAAACTCCGTCTCAAAAAAAAAAAAAAACATTCATAGTCTTGATCTATTCATAGTCGATGAAAGGAACACTTCTATAGGTAAGTCAGCAATCGTCAAAAAGTAATTCAACTTTTAAAATAGTTGGGGATGGGGGCTAGGCACAGTGGCTCATGTCTGTACTCCTAGCACTTTGGGAGGCTGAGGTGAGTCACTTGAGCTCAGTAATTCAAGGCCACCTGGGCAAGATAAAGACCTTGTCTCTACTCCCCCCAAAAAAATAAGTTGGAGGGTGGGGTGAGTGTGGATAGAAAAAAAAATACAGGCATACATATTTCACTGTGTTTGCTTTATTGCAATTACAGATATTGTGTTTTTCTACAAATTGAAAGTCTGTGGCAACCTGTGTTTTGTTAAGTCTATGGGAGTCATTTTTCCAATGGCATCTGCTTACTTTGTGTCACATTTTGGTAATTCTTGCAATATTTCAAACTTATTCATTTTTAGTATGTTTGTTAGTGATCTGTGATTGATGATCTTTGATGTTACTATTGCAATTGTTTTGGGACCACAAACCCTGCCCATGATGGTTGGGCATCTTCTGACGGCTTCGCTGGACTGGCTCTTCCCCCTTCTCTCTCCCTCTCCTCTGGCCTCCCTATTCCCTGAGAAACAATATTGATATTAGGCCAATTAGTAACTATAATGGTCTCTAAGTATTCCAAGTGAAGAGTCACATGTCTCTCACTTTAAATAAAAAGCTAGAAATGATTAAGCTTAGTGAGGAGGGCATGGTGAAAGCCAAGATAGGTCAAAAGCTAGGCCTCTTGTGCCAAGCTGTGAATGCAAAGGAAAAGCTATTGAAGAAAATTACAAATGCTCTACAATGGACACACAAATGATAAGAAAACAGCCTTATTAGGCGGGCGCAGCAGCTCACGCCTATAATCCTAGCACTTTGGGAGGCAAAGGCAGGTGGATCACCTGAGGTCAGGAGTTCCAGACCAGCCTAGTCAACATCATGAAACTCCATCTCTACTAAAAATACAAAATTAGCCGAGTGTGGTGGCTTATGCCTGTAACTCCAGCTACTCAGGTGGCCGAGGCAAGAGAATCACTTGAACCCAGGAGATGGAGATTGCAAGACTGCAGTGAGCCAAAATCAAGCCACTGCACTCCAGCCTGGGAGACAAGAGTGAAACTCCATCTCAAAAAAAATAAATAAAAGAAAAAGAAAAAGAAAAACGTTTATTGCTGATGTGGAGACAGTCTGTCTGAATGTCTGGATAGATAATCAAATCAGCCCAAACATTCCTTTAAGCCAAAGCCTACTGTAGAGCAACCCCTTGATACTCTTCAATTCTATGAAGGCTGAGAGAGGCAAGGAAGCCACAGAATAAAAGGGTGCTGCTCACCAAGGTTGGTTCATCAAGTTTCAGCAAATAAGTCATCTCCATAACATAAAAGTTCAAGGTGAAGCAACAGGTGCTAATGTGGAACTGCAGTAAGTTATCCAGAAGAGCTAGCGAAGGTAACGTATGCAGGTGACAACACTCCACAGATGATCAACATGGATGAAACAGCCTCATTGGAA